CGGACTTTGGTTGTTAGCTATTGGATTCGCTTTCACAATATCTCCAGCCTCAGAAGCCACAGCAGGACATTAGTCAAAACGAGCAACATCTCCGTGACCGCCTTCTGTCATTAATTCTACGGGATTCCAGCTGTCTACAATAGGCTAAGTCGTTTCAATATCCATTTCATGCAGTTGATCGCTTTATACATATTGCATAGAGCTTTAATATCACTTCGATCTATTATGGGAAACAAAAATAAACGTACAAAGCAGCATGTAAAAGGTTCGCCGCGAGAGGGATTTGAACCCAAAACCCGTAGCCCACGGGCGTCGGGTGTTACCACTACACCGCCGAGGCACACAGCAGTTACTTATTTAATTGAAAATATAAGCCCTAGTCGCAATTTCGAGGGCAGAAATCGCAAGGTTGGTGCAACAGAATTGCCCCCCACTAAAAGGACTATAAGTCCTCCGAGTTCAATAGACTCAAATACGAAAACCAAGATGGCATATCATACACGAAACTTTTCAAAATATTTTCTGTCATGCAGAAGGATATGGTAGGCCTTAAAATGGAGATAGAGAAACTGAAGTCACTTCTGCATACTTTAACGCATGGCACGATGTCAGAGACGACAGAAAGCCGAGAAAAGGTCAAAGCAAAGAAAACGGAGAATGTTTCCATGCTCCAAAAGCAAAATCCTTCAGAACCAGTTGCGGAAGTCAACCTCCTTGAAGAGGCGAAAGTCAAAAAAATGAAGAGGACCCTGTACGTCGGGCCAACAGGCAGACAGCGTCGCCACTAGACCAGGAGACCACGATAAGGGGTCTGAACATTTCACTTACTCAAGGGGTATCGCGCTTAACATAGCCACAGAAACCAAGCAAGCGGTCTCTAAGATACCCGTAAGAACTAGTCTGGTCGCGTCTCCCGAAGCGCCCAAGACTAAGAGCAAGATGCCACCGACTACCACACAAAAAGGTGACTTTGGCACGCAAGGGGAGCGGTAGAGTCTTCCCATTAATCACATGCCGGAGCTCAAGGAAATCACAGCCCAAGTCGAGGAAACCCGCACTTCTGTGGGACCAAGCACCTCTCAGCGCTCTCCGAATAAGGACATCGTTGATCGCGCACAGAGCGAAACAGAGGACCTCGGCAGTAACTCTACCACCGCAGTCGTCTCGGGAACGAAGGATGATAGTGACATCCATTGGCATGAAGTAGTTGCGGGGTCCAATAATAAACCTCATAGTTCGTTATTTAATCGCAGCCAGTGCATCGTCATACAAGGCATGCCTGAATTTTCTTCGGAGACCTTAAAGAATAGAATTGACCATGATATGGAGTTATTCCGCGGATACGTTAAACCTCTCCTATATGAAACCACGAAATGGAGGTACCCGTCTTAAAGGCATTTAGGATTGGCCAAGAGAAGGATCCAAATGCAGAGTTGGGTCAAGCCAGACCGATAAAATTTATACTCGAGCACGAAGAACAAGCGAGGCTTCTGTTGAACAGGAAATCGAAACTACGGAACAAGAACCCGACGGTTTTTTTCAGCGGGATTACTCACCGGCCGAGAGGGAGAAGTGGAGGGAACTG